TTTGACTTGTCTTCCTGAGCTGCACTTTGAAATCTTCTATTCAGCTCCTTAACTTCTTGATTTCTTCCCTTTGTTTTGGCTTCTCAGTGCTCTAGTGCAATATTCAGAGGCTCTTCTGCCATCTATTTTGGTCTTTTCTTCTTCTTCCTTCTTTGTATTGACTTTTTTCATTCTTCATGAATAATATTCTTGATATCTTCCCACAGCTCATTTGGTCTTCATTTAAGGCCTCACACCTATTCCTAAGTTTGTTTTTAAATTAAGGGGGGATAGATCCAAGATCAAATTTTGATTCCTGTGGATATGCTTTCATCTTCTTTAACTTCAGTTTAAACTTTCATATGAGTAGTTGATGGTCTTTTCCACAATCAGCACTTGGCCTAGTTTTCACTGCTGATATTTAATTTCTCCAACAATTCTTTCTACTGATATAATTAAACTGATTCCTGTGCATCCATTCCATCAGGTGAAATCCATGTGTACAGCCTGTGTTTATGTTTCTTATAAAAGATATCTGCTATGAATAAATAACAGATTCTTCAGAATTCTATCATTCTATCCCCAGCTTCAATTCTGTCACCAAATCCATATTTTCCAACTACTGATCCTTCTTCCTGGTTCCCAAATTTCATAGTCCAGTCACCCATTATTATTATTAGTTCATCTTGGTTACATGTTTAATTAATTTCTGACTGCAATAGTTGGTATAAATAATGTTCCCCCCCCATTTTCTCCCTCTCTCTCTCTCTCTCTCTCTCTCTCTCTCTCTCTCTCTCTCTATATATATATATATATATATATATATATGACTGTCACCAAGCATGATGACAAGAACAATGGATTTGAACTGCCCACCACATCATCCTATCAGCCCAGACTCAAATCTAGAATTAAGATCACACTTCAAAGCCAACTAGCTATACTAGGCCATGCCTTGCCTAGTGAATCTTTTTTCACTTCTTTACCTCTGGAGAGTGACCCTTCTCAGAAACTCTCTTGAGGTATCTTTTCTAATAAAACTGTCTTCTTCATCTGATCTCTTCACCTTTCTTCTCAAATGTATGTCCTAACAAAATATCACCTTATGCAGGGATTCTTTTGAGCAGAGCATAACCAGACCCAAATCAGGGGATTTGTCCACAGCCAATCTTCTGTTGTCTCCCTCCCACCTAGTTAAATTCTTTGTCTGAATAAGTTGGACCAAGCGAGGACATTCACTACAAAATAACAGTTAATCCTTCAACTATAAAGGACAACGGCTAGATAAGCTAGATGGTACCATGTGATCTAGTAAGTCCACTCTTCAAATGGCTTACTTTGGTCATTGTCTCCTGCTATATGACTGAGTGTTATCTTGTAAATAGGATATGTTAATAATCCATAAAGGAACTGGCTAGTTTTACATTCTACCATGTTTACATTGAGCCAGTTTAGCAGCAGAAATCTGAGATTTGCACTCCTAGCAGAAGAAAGCAGCAGCCCCTTTGGGGCTGGAAAGTCCTGTTATAGCCAAACCAGGGCCTATAAGAGAGCAGTAGGAGCAGAGGAGAGCCAAAGACCTGAAATGAGACAGATGACCTCAGACAGCTACCTCACAGATCCAGAGTTAGAGGCCATTGTTCAAGCATGCTGGAGGGTTTGGCATGGGTGGGAGGTTGGCAGGGAAATGGACAATATAATTGTCAAGACTAAGAGAGTTTTGAAACACTGGTCTAAAGCCACAAGGCTAAAGAAAATGTGACACACTTTAGAAGCTGCCCTGATTGAAATTTCATCCTGTTGCCATCTTGAACTGCAATTTGTTAACTTCTCTAAGAAATTTCATAATAATGGAAGGGAAAAGTTTGAATTCTTCATTATTTATGTTCAAAGAATAGTGGCACTTGAGTTGCAAATGGGACTCTGGTGGACCAATGGTTAAAGTGTATGACTGCTAACTGAAAGACTTGATGGTTTGAATCCAGAAGGAACTTTGCAGGAAAGAGATATGGCAATTTGCTTTTGTAAAGCTTTAATGGCCTTGAAACCCTATGAGGCAGTTCTAGTATGTCTTCTTATGTTTTGCTATGAGTCAGAATTGACTTGAAGATAATAGTCTTTAGATAAAAATGAGTTGAATGCACTGACAGTTTTAAGACATTTTAAGTTTGAATACATAAGGCATTTTCAATCCCTTTACAAGAAAAAAAAAAGGATGATCACATGAAGATAAAATAGATATTTTAAGAATATAGTATGGCAAACACACACACACACACACACACACACACACACTCTCTCTCTCTCTCTCTAAATACCTGGAATATATGAAATTGCAAATACATTTCTTCCAAATGATGCATGCTTGATCTCTCTCACAAATTCTTTGGTGTCAGTTTTAAAACACTGGATCCGGCCGTTTTCTCTGTCTGCCACGCATAACTGGCCCAAATGAGGTATGAGAGCCAAGCTATGAGGAACAGTGAACTGGCCTGGTTTAGGATTACTTCCTGAAGACACTAAAGAATAAGAAATAAATCTCAGATATACAATTTATAAAATTACCCAAGGACTGATATTGTGTTCTTGTAATTTCCCATATTCATGATAGTAATCCATTACTGTTCTGAAAAAGGGGAAAATATATATGTTTTAAAATTTATTTCATGATCTCTCCATATCTGTATAAAGTGGGAGACAGATGGAAAATCTTCTATTGATTTACCACTTCTGAAAACTTGCTGGACGGTCAGCTATCAACTTGATGGCACACAATAACAACAATGTTTGAGAAAGGTATTTGATTAGGACAAATTTTTCTGTAATAGAATTTGTCCGCATATGAGCTCTTTGTGATTGTTTGTATATAAGTAGCGCACACCGAAATCCTGTTTTCCTCACTCTAAAGGACAATCCATCTCACAGACTGTGAGCGGAAGTCACTGTATCTACTGTTCCTGTTAATATTAGCTAAGAAGTAGAAATCGAAATCAACATTTTTCTTTAGGTACCTTCTCCCCATTGTGTGATGAACTTTCCAGTGGGTGAAAACTGCACAATCCGACTGTTGCAGTAACCATCAGATACGTAGATGGTTCCAGTCTCTGGATCCACAGCAACATCAGTGGGCTGACAGAAGTGATTTTGGTCACTCCCTGGTTGCATGCTTCTACCCAGGATCAGCAAAGGGCCTTCTTTGCTATATGGATCTAATTTGAACACCTTTTTGAAGGAAAGAAAATATTTATCCATTTTGCATATATATTTTTTTAATATATACCCACCACTACTAAAGAAAATGTTTTGTATACTGTATTGAAACAGATGACAGAAAAAAGAGATAAAAGCGATATATGATTGGGTATTATGGTTATCACAAGAGTCCAGAATGAGGGTTGCACAGGGAAGTGTACTGGGGGTGGGGGTGGGAGGGTATGGGGAGACTGTATACCAATGAAGAAATTTTTCTTTTCAAAGAGAAGAGCAAACTGGAGGGGAGGTGAGGGGTAGACAGGGACAAAAGTGCAACAATGAATGAATGGAGATCCCAAATCTCTGTAAATGTTCATTAAAATTAATAAAATTTAAAAAAATACATTTTATATTGGTTTGCACACAAATTTGTATACATTGTGTTTGAAACTTTCCTTAATTCACATTGTGTTTCATACAATCATTCCCATACATTTTGTGTTTAATAATAAAATTAATCATCAGTGAACTATATTCACCATTCTCCAACTTTACAGGTCCCTAATGGATCTTTCCCATTTCCTTTACCCTCAAGCACACTCCACTCATCAAATTACACAAGCCTGTGGTTTTCGCCTGCTCACCCTCCATTTATGTTTTACTAGTTATTCTTCTATTTTTACAATGATCTTATGCAATATTTGTCCTAATAAGACTCAGTTAAGGGAAATTTGAATATAAGTTCTGAGAAACTTATTTAAAAGGAGGTATATTGTAGAACTCTATGGAAAGTTAGAAAGTCTTTGATCTCTTTCCTTTCATAAATGAGGTCTACTTGTTTTTTCTTTTGACCACCCTGTTATTTAGTGGTAAACAGTGACAATACAATGATTATTTTATTTCACTTCATTCAATATGCTTCCTTTTTGTCTTTTAAAGAAAAATAGTATCATGCACTTAGGATAATACATGAGCAATAGATGTCTGCAGGTTGTGGATGTAACAGCTAAATAATGTTTATATCCATCTTATAATCCCTGTCCTCTATAAGTCTTTTGCCACCTATTTATAAAAATAGTTTTAAATTTAAGTCTATTTGAAGGAAAGAGAACACCTTCTGACTATTCTGCGGTTGACTACTCTTGGAAAACAAAATATTTCTGCTTTAACATGTTTTAAAACTTTACTTCTTATAGATAAATTAGGGAGTTCTGGTGGCCTAGTGGCAAGAAGCTGTGCTGCAATCCTGAAGGCACACAGTCAAGGCCATCAGTTGCTCGGTGGAAGAAGGATGGGCAATCTCTTCCCATGCAAATAACTGCCTCTGAAAACTCAATGGAGGGTCAGCTATGGGTTGCTTCTGACTCAACGGTATACAACAACAACAAATATAATCACTAGATATTTTTCTCAATTTATAGAATAAGGTAGTTTAGAAAAGAATACATAAATTATGAATGGTAAGAAGAAATAAGTTTGAGGGGTAAAGCGGAAAAAGCAAATGTGGAAAGTCAGTGATAGTCACATCATGACCATAGCTGGGCTCCATCCCTGCACTCAAATCTACTGCCAACCCAGAGGAGAAAGGACACTTCATAATTTATACTATTTTGTTTCTAGTGCCAAATTAACAAATAAAATTTTTCAGAGGTAGCTATTTCATATCTTGTTATAAATCTACTGGGTATAGAAACCGACCAAAAATTTTTAGAAAATGAGAGCATTTTAAAAGCATAACTCTGATAGCTTTTATTTGAATAACTGCCAAATTAGTACATTACCTGATGGAGAGCCACATCTGTGACCCAATAATTTCCATCTTTATCTATACTCAAGCCATGTGGCAAATAAAACCTGCAAAACACAAAATAGTTATCTTAATTTACATATATATTTCTCCCGAACATACACGAAGAAAGTATTTTTAAAAATAATTCCTAAAGGCAACATAAATTTATGAATTGACAAATATGTACTTTATCACTACAGAGAAGACCAAAATGAATTAAGTGAAAACACTTTCTATGACAGAGACATGCAATAAGCTTAGGCAGTTCTTAATAATATGAAAAATTTATAGACCAAGGCCAAATGTTAATTACAATTCAACTGTATAATTAAGCAAAATAATGTTACTTTAAGACAGGTAACAGTAGCAACTTTTCTTTTTATTCATTGATTTATTCTTCCAAATTTTCTTCCCTCCCCCTCCTCAGTCCTCTCTGCAATGCACAAGATTGCTGTCATATATATAATAACTAATCATACATTCCTTTCAGACTAGTGTTCCCTCATCTGTTCCAATAAAGTGTTTATTATATATCTACTCTTTTTGTATTCTCCTGCTCAACTCACCATGTCAGTCCTATTTTATAATAGCGGTGTTATGCAGCATTTGTCCTTTAGTGATTGAGGTATTTCACTTACATAATGTCTTCCAAGCTTACCTATGTTGTGTAATGTTTTATGACTTCATTGTTTTTCAGTGCTGTGTAATATTCCATTGTGTGACTGTACCATAGTTTCCCTAACCATTCATTTGTTGATGAGCACTTGGGTTGCTCTTTGCTACTGTGAATAACGCAGTAATGAACATGGTTTGCATATATCTGTTTCAGTTGTGGCTCTGATTTCTTTAGGGTATATTCCCAATAGTAGAATTGTTAGGTAAAATGGTATTTCTATTTCCAACTTTTTGAGAAAGCGCCAGACCTCTTTGCCTCATACTTGCACCATTTTACATTCCTACCAGCAGTGAATAAGAGTTCCAATCTCTCCATAACCTCTTCAGCAGTTGTTTGTTGCCCTACTGAACTTTGCAATTCTTGCTGGGGTGAGATAATATCTCATAGATGTTTTGATTTGCACCTAAGAGCTAGGGATTTTGAGCATTCCATCATGTGTTTGTTTGCCATCTGGATGTCTTCTTTGGTGAAGTGTCCTTTATAATCTGTGTCCATTTTTCAACTGGTTGTTTACCTTTTTCTTGTTGAAGTGTTAGTATATTCTAGAAATTTTAGATTAAGTCCCTTATCAGGTATGTCATTGCCTAATATTTTTCCCAGCGTGTGCATTTCCTCTTTACCTTGCTGTAGAACTTTTTTTGATGTGCATAGGGCTTTGCTTCTTTACACATATATGAAAAAAAATTAATTTTGTAAGGAAACATAAATTTATTTACACAGGCAATTTGAATATTTTAAATATACTGCAAGACATTGCAATGCTATACTAATATAAAATATTAAACCTATTATTCAACATTTTTTAGGAGGACCTGTTAAATAAAGATAGTAAACCCCAAGAAAAACAACTTTAGGCAAAATTTGATTATATTAATCTAAACAAAGTTAGAGAGAAAGGTGGATAGTCATTAGAAAAGGTTATTCTAGTCAACAAATCAATTTAAACAATAAGAGTAAGAGAAGTGTAAGGTAAGGGAGATAGGGACCCAAAGGCTAAAGGAGTTAATAAAGAGACAAATCTTAATGTGGTTTCTGGTCTAACAAGCTATTTTTATAGGCTTCTAGTCTGAATATATGGGTTTTTCACATGCCAAGACTATAATACCCTAATCCTGATTAATTAATGAAACTAGAGCTTCACCTTGAAACTGAATGGGAGGGCTATGATTTGCTTTCAATATAGACCCCACTGATGGCCAAGCTGATTTCACAGCATTTGTTCCCTCCTCCTCTTTTGGGAATGTGGCTGCTTCTGATTAATGGTAGAACACAAAAGAGAGGTTCAAGCACACTGAGTGATGGAGCTGGTATTAGAATGTATTCCCTGAATCATCCTCCCAGAATCCTGTTAAACACTCAAAACATTATTATTATTATCATCTCCCTGTACAACTGGATTCAAGGCTGATGGCTCCCCGCCTTTGAAGGAAGGTATTCTTCTCTGCCTATGTAAATAAATAATAGATTATAGGCCCTGAGCTGCTAGGTTAAAATGTTGTCCCTTTCTTTCAATGACCATGGGCATCAGCCAACTTTTTTTACTACCAAATGCTATCCAGGAGTAAGACCAAATGATGAGAAGCTTTCAAAGCCAAATTACATACTAAGGAAAACAAAAAATTGTATTTGTTTAGTCTTAACTCTGAGGTGAAAATTTGTTTCTTGACTGTGATTACATGATGAGTTTGGTTGTATCACTCTTCTGATGAAGATTATACTTATTTTTTTAATCAACAGATCTAGTTAACCAGCAAATTAATTCCTTAGTTTAGTATATCAGTGACTCTTTCAATCTTGATTATCTTTGAATCAGCTGTTGTCTTGTGTGCCATCGTCAGGTCAGAACTGACCTATAACTCATCCTCCAAATGATTTTCAAAAGCAGTAAACTGCACGGGAGGGGGCTGTTCCTCCTTCTCCCATGGAGCAAATCTGAACCATGTGCCTTTGGGATTGCAGCACATATTCTTACTACTAGGCACCAGAGCTCATTAGTTTGAATCAGTTAAGAAGCTTTAAAATGAAATCTGAATTGTTTTTATAGTTTCTCGAGCTATTATAATATTTAGCCAGGATTTAGAACTAACTATTTAGAAAATATAGAGCCCTGGTGACAGTACATAATATATCAGACAGATAAATGAGAGGCTGGTAATTTGAACATATTAGCTGTTTCCTTGTAGAAAGATAAGGCAGTTTCCTGATATAAAGATTTACGGCCTCATAAATATGATGGAGGATTACAGTAAGTCACAGTCAAATCAATGACACGGGATGAGATTACTTATTTAGAAAATAGTAAGTGGAGTCCCTTGGTGGTGCACATGGTTAGGGCAATGAACTGCTAAGAAATGTCCTTAATCTACTCAAAGAATCTTAAAAGTCTATTTCCAAATAATCAGGCACTAAAAACCCACATATATAGTTCTACTTGGATTTGTATGGGGTTTCCATGGGCGAGAATAAACTAAATGTCAACTGGTTTATTTAGAAAACAGAAAGACTAAATTGTCTGGTTTCTTGAGCTGGACCCTTCTCCTACTTCCTATATAACTCTGTCTTTCCAGAGATTGTAACTGTTATAGATAAAAGCCAGACCAGTGATAGACTTTATATGCAATATATACAGTTGTTGTTGTTGTGACGTACTGTTGAGTTAGACCCTCTAGTGAGTTTTAAAAGGCTGTAAACTACATGGAAGGAAACTGCCCATCTTTCTTCTTTAGAGCAGATAGTGAATTTGAATTGTAGGCTTTGAGGTCCGCAGTACAGTTCCTTACCACATCACCACCAGATCGCCTTACATATGTAGTAAAAGTTATAATAACACATAAGTAATATAACTCACAGATTTTTGCCACTGGAATGAAGTACAGAAGCATAATCTGGATCTATGACAAGAATGGTATCTTCTTCAATTGGTCCAAGTCCTCTTTGCTGGTAAACAAACTTGCTGTCAAAAGAGCTAAACAAAATACATTAGAATTAAAAACCAAAACGACAACCAAAAAAACCCTCCATTGATTAGAAATTCCAGTGAATATAAGAAATACACACCACTTACTTGTTATCCCAATTATGGGATCAAAGAAGAGCTCAGCTATATTTTACTTTATTCTTTCCCTATGATGTTTCAGACGCTTGGAATCCATGTACACCATTAATCTATTTTGTTTTATGTTGTATGTCGTTGAGTCAGAACTGACCTGTAGCAGACCCTCAAGTGGGTTTCCAGAGGCAGTAAATCACACAGGAGGAGACTACCCATACCTCTCCTGCAGAGCAACTGGCAGATCTGAACCGCATGCCTTTGGGATTGCAGTGCAGTTTGTTACCACTAGATTACCAGAGCACCCTATATAGAACTATGCTATTCAGAGGACTTGCACCACCAGTAGCAAGTTATCAGATACTATTTATTTTGATTGTGTATGAAAATGATGCTAGTAAGGATAAGGGACAAAAACAAACTCTTCTAACCTAAGCTTTGTCATATAGAGATGAGTATGTCTAACACCAGGAGAACAACTTATATTTTAAAAAAACAGTAAGTTGAATCATTATATTTATATTGTTGTTAGGTGTCATCTAATTGAGTATGACTCATAGCAACCCTATGAACGAAAGACCTGAACCCTATTCTATCCTGCGTCATCCTCACACTTCCTAACACACAAGAGCTCACTGCAGCAGTCATCGTGTCAATCCGCCTATTTGAAGGTCTTCTCTTTTGCCATCCCTTCACCCTTCATGTCCTTCTCCATGGAACAGCCCCTACTGGCAACATGCTCAAAGTATGTGAGGTGATGCCTCATTATATATATCTATGTTTATATTGGAAGCACCATGATGGATGGAGAAGAGACTAGGGTTGTTAACAATTACAGCTTGTTCATCTCCACAATCAAATTCTTGGCACCAATAGTCTGGAAATCAAAAGACAAACTCTATTAGGTAAATATGCTGTCAGGGGCCTTTCCAGAGTACAGAGAAGCAATAACATCAATCTAGAAACTAAGATGTGCCTGATCTAGGCCACAGTCTTCGCAATTACTTGCATGTATCAGCGAATGCGACAATGACTAAGGATAACAGAAGAATTGATGCCTTTGAATTGTGGTGCTGGAGAAGAGTCTTGAACATACCATGGACAGAAAAGAAAACAAATAGGTCGTCTTGGAGAGGGTGAAGCCAAGTTTCTCCTTGGAGACTAGGATTTTGAAGTTCTGTCTCACATACTTTGGACATGTGGTCAGGACGGGCTGATTCTTGGAGAAGGACAACATGCTCAGAAGGGTGGAAATAGAGCACAGGAGAGGAAGACCCCAGATGAGATGGCTTGATACAGTAACTAGGACATTGGAGGTAGTTGTGTAGGAGTCAGTGAGACTGGCTCATGACAGCAAGTTTCTGAACTACTGTATATAGGGTGGCTATGAATCACAAGCAAGTGGATGCCACATAACAACAACAACATATGCATGTATGTATGTATATGTTTATGTCTGTGTACCAGGCATATCATTGCTGATGTCAGGTGGACCTTGTTTGAAAGTAGAGAATACTAGAATGATAGAGGATGTCTATGTTTCATTGACTATGCAAAGGCATTTGCCTTGTAAAGCACAACAGACTACGGCTAAGACTGAGAAGAATGAGAATCCCAGAACACTGAATTTTGCTCATCTAAAACATATACATATACAAAGAAGCCGCTGTTCAGACACAGCAAGGGAACACTGCATGGTTTAAAATAAAGAAAGGGGTGCATGTGGGCGAGGTGAAGGAAATGGGAAGGATCTTTTGTGAAATACAATGTATCCAAACTTTGTAAATATAGCAGAATAAAAAAAAATTTAAAAAGAAAGGTCTGCCTCAGGCCTGTATCCTTTCTCCATACCTATTCAATCTGGCTGAGTAAATCATTTGGGAAGCTGAACTTTATGAGGAAGAATGTGATTAGCAGGAATAAAAAAGACTCATTCACAATCTACATTAGGCAGCTGACACAAACTCTGCTTGCTTTAAGTGAAGAGGACTTAATATTCTTGCTGTATAGGATCAAAGACTTATGCCTTCACTATGTATTACATCTTGATATAGAAAGGAGAAGGAAACAAAAATCTTCACCACTGGGTCTATCATTATGATATGGAGAAACCCTTCAAATTCTTAATGATTTCTTACTTGGATCCATAATCAACATCTTTGGTACCAATAATTAAAAAATTCAAAAGTCACGTAGCATTAGAAAAATCTGCTGTCAAGAACATCTCCAAAGTGCTGAAGAGCAATGATATCGGTTTAAAGATCAAGTTGTCTCTTATTCAAGCCATGGTCTTTCTGTTTATTTAAGCATATGAATATTGGATAATCCTGGATGAGGATGACAGAAGAATCCATGCTTTTCAGTTCTGATGTTAGAGAAGAGTACTGACTATCTTATGGATTGCCAAAATAACAAACACATAAGTCTTGGAGAAAGTGCAGTCAGGGTTACTCTTTAAAGGTAAGGATGATCAAGTTTCATCTCACATATTCTGGACATGTTATTAGGAGGTGTCAGTCCTCGGAAAAAGAAATCATTTTTGAAAGGTGGAAGGTCATTATAAAAGAGGAAGACCATCAACAAGATGGATTGGCATAGTGACTATAGCAATAGGCTCAAGGATATTAGAGACGAAGATGGCACAGGATGTGGTGGCATAGTTCAGATCCATCATTCACAAGGTTGTTATAAGTCATATTCGACTTGATGGAATATAACAACTATAAATATACACACTTAATTTGGGCATATCGCCTAACTACTATACCTCATAAACTTTGGGCATGTTGCTAGGACAGGCTATTCCCCTGAAAACGATATGATGCTAGGAAGGGTGTAGGGTCGGTGAAGGAGAAGAAGACCCTTGATCAGGTGGATTGATATAGTCAATGAAACACAGGTTAAGACATCCTTTTGGCATTCTTTACTTTCAAGAGAGGGCCACCTGACATCAGCAATATCCCTGGTGTGGGAACACGCGTGCACACACGCTATATATGATGAGGCTTTGCCTCACATACTATGGGCACGTTGCTAGGAGGGGCTATTTCTTGGAGAAGAACATGATGCTGGGAAGGGTGGAGGGTCAGCGAAAGAGAGGAAGACCCTCAACTAGGTGCACTGACATGGTGACTGCTGGAATGGGCTCTTGTGGTCAGTGTGTGTGAGGATGGCGCAGGATAAAATAGGGTTCAGATCTTTCATTCATAGGCTCATTGTGAGTCCTATTTGACTTCACAGCACCTAAAAACAACAACAACAACAAGTACACACACAGGTACACACACATCTAAATATACACACAGTTCCAGGTGAGGTTAATATGAAACTAATGAACAGTCCTTTAATACAGAATTTCCTTTAAACTATCAGGCAAGATCATGCATAAAAAACTGTTAGTGTTTTGTAGTTAATCTGTATATGCAAAAGAAGAATCAAATAACATTAAACAATGGTTGCTGTTGTTGTTATGTGCCATCGAGTCGCTTGCGACTCATAGCAACTCTATGTACAAAAGCCCTAAATGCCGCTCTATCCTGTGCCAACCTCGCCGTCTCAAACACACTCATTCCCACCACTCCACTCACAGAACTGATCCATCTCATCGAGGGTCTTCCTCTCCTGTGTTGTCCCTCCACTCTCCCAAACATGATGTCCCTCTCCAAGGACCAGTCCCTCCTTGCAACATTCCCAAAGTATGTCAGATGAAGCTTCAGAATCCTTGA